CAAGATAGAAATGGCTCCAGTGGCATTAGCACAGAAGAGAACAGGTACAGAGGAGAAGATGGGATATTTATCAGCCTTCACCAATATTTTGAACATAACCCAAGTCAGAGTGTCAAAAACATATTTTTTAAAAGAAAGCTTCAGTTAGTTTATGAGTTGACTGTTTCTGAACAATTGCAAAAATTCACGCAAATGCCGAAAAAAACCGTCAGAAAACTAGACACCAAATATCTCTCATGTTAAGGGATGAGATTTTTGATCGATGTCAACAAGCAATCAAGCCATAAATATTTGAGTATCTTCAATGTGTAATGCCAGGCTATGCCAAGAGTCTTATTCTGTAAATGTCTCTTTCACATGTGGAGTTTTCCTTCTCTGGCCATATCATTTCTTTCCCTCTTCCACTCCTAGCATTTTTTTTTTTTTTTTTAACCTTCAGGGTCTAATCTCTCTTCTTTACTTCCTATCACCACAGCCCACAGCTACATCTCTTAGGGAAGAGATATTCAAGCAATTCTAACTCAGTATTACATAGGTCAGCATCCAGTCAGTTTTGCCTATATTCCACCTACATAGTGTACAGTGCTTTTAACTGATCTTCCTTAGTCTGAGTACTTGTCCTCTTATGATCCAGTCTGACACCAGAATAACCCTATTTATGCTGCAAGTCACCTTATTTAGGTGTCCCTAGACTAAGGCCTAGTCTTTTTGCTCTGCTCTCCTTACAGGGGTACGGATTCCAGTGAGTGGGTTTATTATCAGTTCCTGACTCCTTCATAGTATGCTCTATACTACTGTAAAAATTAGCTCACACCTGTTTATTCTTAAGGATTGACCTATAAGACATGCTCAAAAATCTCTAGGATTATGGGGAGATCTAGAGGAAAGGCATAAAAAAATAAATATTGATAATATTATGAAACAAAAACACAGAGATATCTCAAGACAGCACATGATAAATTCCACATAAGTTAACCATTCACAATAACATCCATGAGTCACAGTAAGGAGACTACTGACTACAGTGATATTAAAAGGTGAGATTTCAGCTGGGTACTACAACATGGACAGAATTTGGATGAGAGGAAAGAATAGGAAGCAACGTTACAGTTCCCATAAAGCACAAAGTGTGTGCAGCATAGACCAAGTACAACATCTTGGCTCTACTCTCATGAGCAAGTGTGTAAAACAGAAATCGCAGTAGGTTGGCATGAAGTATTTCCATTTTCATCCATAATTTTACTATCTTAATGATATAGTTAAAGAAGAAAACAGGATATCCCACTTTTATATATTCAGATGAAAATATACAGATCAAGGTATCATATAAATATTGAGGAACTGACTTTTTATCATCAATTTTTGTAATGTATTCTCAGCTAATAGACTGAGGTAGGTGACCAACAATGTAATTTTGTTTATTTTGGTTTGTTTGAATGTTTCCTTACAGAAGATCAAGTAGCATACTTTATTGATGCTGGATATATATTGATGCTGGACCAATAAAAACATTGGTATTTTAATCCTGGCTCCACCACCTTATTTACCAAATAGAAATTTATTGTGAAGGCTCTGTTCTACAAATATTTATTATGAAGACTTTGTTCTGAGCTCTGGGGATATAACAGTGAGCAAAAGACAACTAAGTCCCTGCCCTCATGAAGTTTACAATCAAAGTCATGAGATTTTGGAAAAATTACTAAGTTTTGACTCACAGTCTTCTCATGTAAAATTAGATCAATATTAGTGACCCTATTAAAAGAGAATATATATGTATACACATACATATATTTATATATATTTGTTGCTTACATAATATAAATGTTTTATATATGTTGCTTATAAATATTTAATAGCATCTATTAAGTAACTGTTCAAAAATCTATTAATCATCAGATGTCATTTAGTATATCATAGCATGCTTTTATTAAATTGGTTTAAAATTCATATTTCATGTATACATTTTGTTTCCAAATGGTTACAACAATGTGATAAAGAGGAAAGGGAGCAAGAATCTACAATAATTAGAAGTCCTGGTTTCAACACTTAGTTCTACCACTTACTAGTTATGTGATCCTAGACAAAAATGAGCCATCTGTGCATCGGTTTCCTTAACTATAAAATAAAGATAAAAATATTTGATCCTCTTACCTTATGGGATTATTCCAATGAATAATCGATTTCAAAATGTAAATGGTAAGAAGTATTTAAGTTAAATCTTTTTTTTAAAGTTTATTTTTCAGAGACAGAGCGAGTGGGGCAGTGAAAGAGAGAAAGGAGGACAGAGGATCTGAAGTGGGCTCTGTGCTGACAGCAGAGAGCCTAATGTGGGGCTCGAACTCACGAACCACGAGATCATGACTTGAGCCGAAGGCAGACACTTAACCAACTGAGCCACCCAGGTGCTCCAAGAAGTATATAAATTAATGCTAATTTTCCCCATCACATACCATGCTCTGTGCCTGGAAATTACACTTTTTGGAGACATGTAGTGGGAAGGAGTGTACAAGAAGAAATCACTTCTTAAGTGGATCAAAATTACCTAAGAATTCACCCACCATACACAACACGAACAATTCTTGTCTTCCTCAACACAAGATCACACCTTACCATCTAGAAGTATGTTTGAAGAGTACCACCTCACTTCTACTTTTTTGCACAATTCCAAAAGATTTTAAGAGAAAGGGTATTTATTAAGGAAAAATGACACTCATAACTAAGACTATCAGGTATATAGTTGTGTTATCTAAATGAGTCTGTTTTTGCTTTAAGTGCTTTCAATGGAAGCTGAGACTGATGAGTGAAATGGCACAAGAAAGAAGGAAAAAGACACGATAAGAAGCACAAAATGGCAGCAGTGTAAAAGAGCTAAAAGAACTAAAGAAAAAAAAAAAACAAAGGGAAAGAGAGATCTTTAAAATAAAGCAAAATGTGGAATTCGAGAAACTCAACAGATGAACATAGGGGAAGGGAAGGAAAAATAAGATAAAAATAGAGAGGGAGGCAAACCATCATAAGAGACTCCTAAATACAGAGAACAGAGTGAGGGTTGCTGAAGGGGAGCTGGGTGAGGGGATGGGCTAAATGGGTGATGGGCATTAAGGAGGGCACTTTTTGGGATGAGAACTAGGTCTCGTATGTTAAGAGATGAATCACTGGGTTCTACTCCTAAAGCCAAGACTACACTGTATGTTAAAAAAGTTGGATTTAAATAAAAAATAAATAAATTCAAATAACATCTAAGAAATGAAGCAAAATTAAAAAAAAAATTCTCCCTTTAATATACACACATATATATAAAATAGAGGCTGTTTTAGGAGGCCAATGCTTTATCCATTAGGCCACTGGGGCTCCTAAATAGAGGCTGTTTTAAATGAAATATATTTGAAAACAAACAAAAAATGCACACACACAAGAGAACAAAAGAAAAATATCCAAGCAATGCTGACAAGAGATAGAGAAAACAGAGGATATAAAACCCACAATACAGGTGTCAGAAATAGATGCTTAATCTATACACATAGCCAAATAAAGGTAACTGTTTAAGAAAAAATAAAAACAACTTAATACACAAAATCACCGTTTTTTGCATTTTACATAACAAGTGAATACTTTTAATGGTTTGTAGATTTCAAAAACTTTTACAATTCATTTTTGAAATCTGGATATCAGAATTATTTTTTTTTTAACTGTCCTAAAATGGTGGTTGACAGACTGGATCATATAATTAGGAAGCTGAGTACAACGGATAGAGAAGAAGGTGACATCACGACCATTATGCAGCCATAGGAAAGAAAAGTGGTAACATAACTCTATCAGAACAAGCAAGCACTTGATTCGAATCTAATCACTGTTTTTGTTTTTCAAATAATATATTAAATAGTGAGATGCTTTTCAGAAATGCAAATACTGCAATGTGACTAACTTTTACTTGAGTCACTGTATGATGCACTTTAGGGTTTCTTGGTCTGGATACATTTTTTGGGTCTTAAGAATTTATATGCTGCTTTTGTACTGCTTAACTGCACTAACTTACTCAACAAACTGACCTATAGTCTTGAATGTGCACAGTTTAATTCCCAAAAGTATAGTGATTATGACACGAACTAGAATGAAGAAAATAACTTAGAAAGTCATCTATTCCTGCTAAAGATGGTATGAAATATTTTATTAGTGAACTTTTAAAGGAAATGTAAAAATAGCTCAAACTGAATAATTTGAAACTTCACTCCCATCTTACAATATAATTTATAAAGTGTTAATTTGTCTATGTTTAAATGTTCTGAATTGCTCACTTTTAAAGAACATATCAATTTACTACTTTACTCACACAGTAGCATTTCTGACATGCTTTACTATTAAATTATATTTCTAGGACCCATAGTGCAGGCTTTGAAAATTGCATAAATCTGTCTCAAATATACAATTCACAGTATGTATATCAAGCAGAATGTGTCAAAGTGCAAATAAAATTGTTTTTTCCCCCTACGAATTAGAACTCCTTGGGTAGCACTACTATAACGATCCCATGCTGCTAGCATCACAAAGTGCAAAGGTTCATCGGGTAAGAAAAGAGCAAAGGAGAGAGTTCCCTCATTACACTATCCCTAAACTATTCTAGTTTAAATATTTATTAAGATATTAATTACTCTACCTCCCTCCATCTGCCTTCAGAAGTTAAGCTGAAACACCGTGGATGGATGGTTGCTCATAGGAAAACAATGCATTAAAACCATTACCACCCAAGATGAAGACTGATGTTTTGAACAGTGCATTATTAATTGCTTTTGAGACTTCAATAAAATATCACACTGAAATAAGAATGACGTGTTTTGTAACACTGACTAAAAAAGAAAACATTTCATCCGAGTTAACAACCATGGGAAATGAATGGTTAAAAATTAAAGAATTTAGTTTCTTTTAATCAAATAAACTCATCCGAATAAAATACAAATAAAGGAAAAGAAATAATGAAGGAAAGTTACAATCTTATTACTTACTCTGATATAGAGCTGCATCATTTCTTTTTCTCTTTGGGGGTTACGATACTTTTCATAGAAATCACGTCGCTTCTTTGTTTCTTTAGAGACTTTATCTTTTCTTTCCCGTTTTTCTGCTGGTTCATCTGAACTATCAGAAGATGATGGTACATGTATCTTTGGCTTTTCTACTTCAATATAGTTTTCATTGGGATTCAGCACTATTACTCCATATCCTTCCTGTTTTGAAAGCAAAGAAGGCAGCAGAATTTAATCTTATAAACCATCTCAATTCACAAAAAATCTGTAAAATCTCACAGAAAGTGATTTAATATAGTTGCATATTCATGAAAATATTTCTTTATAAAAGACTATAGTTTTAATTTTTCCAACAAAAAGTTGTTTAAAATGGTTTGCCTGTATTGTATATGTAAATAAGCAGAGATTACTGGTAAGAACAAAAAGACAAAACTGTAACATAAAGATTATAAAGGTTCCATTTTTTAAAAAGTACTTCAGGTCTTGCAGAACCCTCCAAATAACTGAAATAAATAATCAAATAACAAGTATGCTTTCAAACCACATTAAATTTTAAATACCCATTTTGAGAAAATAGCCTCTTTGCAAGTGAAGTTTAAATATCAGACCATATTTTGTTAGATTTTGTTTCCCTTACATTGCACATTAATTTAATGAGCATTTTTTATTTGCTTGAATTCAAGAAAGAATAAGCAATTAAGGCATAAATTTATTCTAACACATTCTACAGATTTACATGTCTCTAACAGCAGAAACATATAATGTCTACCTGTGCAACTTGTATTTTTTTCCACCTCTCTTCTCTCATAAAACAAAATAAACTAATGTCTTACTATAATGTGTGGAAGCAATTATTTAATCCTGAAATGTTTTCACTTTTAACTACCACAAGAATTTCTCTTTATTAGGGACCAGTTCCAAGAAACAAGTCCCAAAGTTTAAAGTACAGCTTACTGAGCTTTTACACCTTCTTTAAAGTTTTAGAAATGTTTTCCTGTATGACAATTCTAGCAAAGAAAACATTTCTATGGTTATAATTAAGAAAGCTTTTGGTATTTAGATTAAGTTATAACTGATGGAATAATCTAACCACAAGAAAATAGAGAAGAATAAACAATTTCCACTGACAAGCATGTGCAACATAAATTTGTGAAGCCATTGATACCTTATATTTCCTATTCACTTCTGTACTGTGGATGTCCCAATTTTGCCTTATAAAATCCTGTAAGGTCCTATTTTAGAAAGGTATTAGATTATGATAAAAACATGTAAGAGCCATGGAAAGTAAAATTTAAAAAAAATCTCATCCTCAGTGAAAAAGAAAATGATATACTTTTTACAAAACTATAACTGTAGAACTACTTCAACTTTAAAATTTGTTTTTTGACAAATCAACCATAAGATGATCTAAAAAAAAAGTGATACACTAATAATAGAGTAATATTAGCACAGACTCCATTATCTTATTTTTAAATATGCTATACCACTGCACTTGACTTGGTGTTGTTAATAGTCAATTTCACAATCTACGTAAAAACTTCATTAGGAGTTTTCAATCTTCCTTTTTACTCAATCAGTTGATATTATTTTCTAAAACCATGATATGGTTTGTAGATTGTGGAGTTCACTGAAGTTGTGATGTTAGTGATAGGACTGTTAATTAAGATATAGTTGTCTTACACATATGAAAACTACACAATAACACATACCAAACTGATTAACAAAATACCACATACTCTTTAATCTATATCAAATAAAACTTTTATATAAACACAAGTTTTATGAAAAGTTATAAAATACTTCACCTATTTTAAAATTTAAGCGTTCTACATCAAAGTACACGATAAGGGTTTTTTTGTTTGTTTTGTTTTGTTTTGAAGTATCTTAGCTGGGAAGTCAAAGTTTTACCAACAAAAGATATTTTATTTGATCCTGCTTTATTCTAATCTGTATAGCTATTCAAAAGTCTTGTAATTCATTGTGATCACTGTCAGGTAGACAGATTGTCACTTGGTGATTTTCTACAGTTGGACACACTTGACTAGTTATTAAAATCACATTTGAAGGAAGTTCCTACCCCTCTTCCTTGTGCCTCTTACAACTTTTCATGCCCTTCTCAAATTTCAGCTATAACTTCTCCTCCCACCAAAAGTAAGTTAAAGAACACTGTTGCACTCTGCTAAACAGGGTGAAATAGAGGCATTCATACACTGTCTTCTGGTGTAAGGAACATAGTCAAAAAAGGTCACCATAGGCCAAAAAGAAAATTGCCTCCTTACTAGATTCTGTACCGTGAGTAAGTGGTCTCCTGTCATGTTTCTTCCCTGTCTTCTCTGAGTGAATTGAACTTTAAACACACACACACACACACACACACACACACACGCGCGCGCACGCACGCGCACACACACGCACACAGTGTCTCATACTTACATGAGTTACAAGTGGCAAACCTAAAAAAGAATCTTGAACTCTTAGAAATGAAAACAGTGATGGACTGCATTTTAATGATAATATGAAAACATCAAACTCTGTGTAACAAAGTGGGACTTAAATAAATTGATAGAATGTGAGCATCACCTTTGTACCATGAATAAATTCCAAATAAAGGTAAACTCTTTAGATAAAACTTACAGTCCCTAGAATGATAAAATTTTGCCCTATATTTTTAACTTCACCACTAGACACATTATTTTCATAATACCATATTTATTTGAGCCTGATTTTACTTCAATTTTTGGAAATCATGGACTGAAAAATTATTGTGCCTACTTGATTTTAAATGAACTCTGAAATTTGATGTGTCCTATCTAAATAAGTATAAAAAGCAGATACACATAAATCATCAAAGAAGTAGTATTTGTCTAAGTTATTGATTATGTAACTGAAAATTACATGACTCATTTGTCCAATTTTATAAAGACACAATGTCAATTTTTCACCGAGGCATCAACTGATGAAAAATGATTCTATTTTTAAATCACCACTATATAAATCAATTAAAGAATTTTTAGCATTTAGATTTCAAACAATGAATGCTTCTCTTTAAATCCTGAATTATTTAGAAAATATTTTATCATTTAGATATTTCACACCGCCAATTTAATTAATGGAATAACAATCAAGAAGTATTCAGGAATATTTTCTGCAGAAATGAAAGCTAATTTTAATAAATGCCTTTGTTGCAAATTCAATTGCCATTCTGTGAAAAACTTACATTTTTCAATTAAAATTTTCCTGATAAATTAACTAATGCAATATTCACAGAAACCATTAATAACCATTTTATCATGAGGAACAGAAAATTGGAGGAACGAAATAAACTCCTCCACTTTTATGCTGTAACCACAGATGTGTAGTGAAACTTCATCTTTTCCTCCTTTTCTCTGTCAATATAAATACTGTCCAAAAATTCCTTTATATAATAAAGGTACAGAGATTTTTGCCATGTCAACATTAATATATTGAAATCAAAGTACCAAAGTAAATACTCAAAGTAAAACAAGGCACATAACATACCAATAGTTCAATTTAGCTATTTTAAATGCCCTATCCATTTATGTCTTAAAAAATCAGAATAAATGCCATTTAAAAAATTCTCCCTATTCCCCAAAACTCAATCAATACACACAGAAATTAAAAAAAAGAGATCTTATTTTGACCTTTAACAAATGTACCCATAAAGTTTTACCAAACTTTATGAAATATATATATTACATATACATGAATATAATATCATAAAAGAACCATGCATTGCCACTCTAACAAAGAAGCTCCCATAACAAATGCTTACAACCTTAAACATTTTATACTGAAGTATTCCTTTTATATTTAATTATTCATGCTAAGATGCTATAAGATGAAAAGGCAGGTCATTTCAAACATCCATGGAAACATCTTTAACAACACAAAATGATGAAAATGATTATCTAACATTCCACAACTAAATAAATAAGACTTCTGGCATCTTGCATAATGATTTACCCAAATCAATTCCAATATCCAACATTTCAAGAGACAAAGCATATATAAAGTTGTTAATTAACTCTTATGTTTGAGTGTACAGTCTAGTAGAAGATCAAGAAAGTGATCAAGAGGACAGATATTGGTAAAAGTAAGCTTTATCTCTTTCATTTATCTCATTCCATTTTCTATCCTTTGTAGCTATAACTGTAGTTTCATTTTCAGAACTGTGTTTATAAGGTATAAGCCAAGGAATCTTACTCAGAAACCCTCAAAATTGTATTGCTAGACATAGTATTTTATTCAGTACAAGGGTTTGCTGTGATTTAAACAGAATACACAGGCCTCCAGGCCTCCTTTACTTTGAAGTCCATAGATGCACTTACTAATAAATAATAGTCCATTTATCATTCAATCAACAAATGATGGCTTAGGTCAGAGGTCTAAAACAGATAGGTGATGCCAAACACAAAGAACCAAAGAGGAAACCTTGCTAAAGAAATTAAATCAGTATATAAAGGTACTTGTCAAGAAGATTCTACAAATAGACAACATTCTTAAATGCCTGACCAAAACCTGAATGTACTTTGATCCCAATGAAATCCTGCTAAAACTTAAGATTTATCCAACTTAATTTGCCTATTAATTACCAGTTATAAGGAAAATAGAAAACAGGAGCAAATTCTACATCTTTTCAAATCTCTTGTGGTTGGTTAAATAACAAATCAGGTGCAAGTACTCAGCTCTGCATATTAACCTGCCAATACTGCAAGCCACATGTGACCAAAGAGGTCAGGGGCCAGAGTAGAATCCTTTGACCTGTGGAACTGTCTGTTTTGGTGTCCAGCCAAAGCTCTGTAAAAGATCATTTTACACAGATTTATCAATCATATTTTTCAAGTTCAGCATTCTATCTGCTTGGTTTGAAAGAAAAAAGGTACTCATCCTCAAGGGAAATGAAACCCAAGTGTTTTATCTATAAACTACATCTACCCATGGTTAAAATGGACAAACCACTGCCCATTCATCTTTTCTGAAAGATGTATGTTGTGTTTATTCTCATCTTTTTCACAACAAGGGTATGTCTATGTCACTGTTGCAACATTCTAGGTGCAACAGTGAGATGAGGTCATGACAACCAATCAGAAGTCACTAGTGAAGCGTTAAAGTAAACATAGCTGTTGGAGCTGCAGCACTGCTTGAAAAATGCCCCCTCCATTATTTCAGCAATTTTCTCA